CCTTCCAGCTCTCTAACCCCAGTGACATCCAAATCTTTGGAGCAAGGGAATATTCAGGATGATGGGATCTGCAGAGAGAGGAAGGGGCCTGATCTTGGGGGAAATGGAACAGTCTCCAGTCTTTTAGTGAGATTTTAGTGTATGTGAGCTGTAGGATTTCCATAGACAGCCTTTATCTAGGAAATTGAGGAAGTTCCTTCATATTCCTAATTATTCACCTGGTAACAACTCTCCCTGGGCACACTGTTGCTGTGAAGGTCCCCTGTGTGTTTCCCTAATCTTCATGGTGCAGGCTGTGGAATTCAATGTCTGTTTTAGTTAAGGGAATGCAGCGTTTCTCTGCTTTTATTCTGACTCTGGCTTTTAACTTGCCATTTTTGTTTACCTGGAAGATCACCGGCTCCTTTTGAACCACTGGTAGACTTAAAAGGCTTTATTGAATTTTTTAGCAGCTCTGACACATGACTGTTATCCAAACACAATTGCAATAAGTGGACCCACCTCCCCTGCAGATGTTCCTTCTCCGTGAATAGGGGATCCTTGACCTGGTGTCTCCCCAGCCTTGAGGCCTGATCATGTCTACTTGGTAAACGCATCAGGACCAATTAGAATTAGTAGTTAACTCTGAGTAGAGGTTCCAAACATTGTTTGTTTGTTTGCAAAATATTTCATGCCATTCCCTGGATTTAAGTTTTTCCATGTTATTATAAAGGAAGCATAGTTAAGATTCCACAATCCTGATGAGTGTTAAAATTCATTTGTTACATGGACACATAAAATACACATTTGTATCCTGTCCATCAGTGGAGTCTCCCTCTACATTTACTAAAGTCCCATTTTACCCCATTTAATGGGATTTTTTTTCTTACAGCATATTATTTTGCTTCCTTTCTCAGGAACTTATCTAGATGCTGTGTGAGCTGAGTGGTGCATAATGACGGCACCACGTGTGCCTGGAGAGAAGGTAGTGGGGTCAAGACCTGATCCCTGCCTGGTCCCAGTGGAACATCCTCTACAGAGGCTTCAAGGGACACTCACTGGACTTGCTAAGTGTTGTCTGTGGTGACTGAGTGAGTGACATGCCTGGAGCCCAGTGTAGCCCTGGGGCTGTGGTGACTGGCACAGGCGGAGTCTACAAGATGCTGTGTCCCCGAGCCTGGACTGGGTGGATGGGCCTCCTTCTGCCCATTCTGGTGTCTCTAAGAGGAGGTCTGTTCCTGAGCACAAGTGTCCTGCTTCATGGAGGTGAGTAGGCTGCCCATGTGATTTTAACAATATCTCAGTCTCATCAATCACCCTTCCTCTTAACACAATAACTAAGAAAATGGCATGAAAGCTACGTTAACCAGTTTGATGGAAATATTTCAAATTGTATATAAAAATAGCACACTGTACCCCATGAAAGTATTAATATACACAGCTATGATTCAATTAAAAAAAAACAATATCTCAGTCTAACGTGTTTTGAAGTCAGTGACTCGTGACGTGCTTTAGACCTTCACCTGCGTGATTTGACTCAAGATGGCAAAAGAAAAGATTCCAACACCATCAGCCATTAGGGAAATGCAGTCAAATCCAGAAAGCGTTTCCACTGCAGTCCTGTCAGGGTGGCTATAAACAAAATGACAGACAGTACCAAGTGTTGATTACAATGTGGAGACAAGGCAACTCTCATAATTTATTCATGGAAATGGAAACTGGTGAAGCCCCTTTTAGAGAGGGAATGACACCTCCTGAAAAAGAGTTGACTATGTTACCCTGAAATTCCACTCCTACCAATCACCCAAGGTGAATGAACTCCTGTGTCCACAGGGAGATGTGAAGGTGGTGCACCAGTGTGACAGCAGCTTCCCTCATAACATCAAAAGGCAACCCACATGCCCAACACCTGCTGAGTGGTCGACAGCCTGTAGGAGATCCATACTGTGGAATATGATTTGGTAATAGAAAGGAATGAAGTACTAATACCACTAAATTATCTTTTATATATTGCATGTCTAAACAAGTAGAGCAATAAACATTTTAATACATTAATCTCCTAAATTATGTAGATATCAAACATTGGATTTACAATGTAACATTATAATAATGCTAGTTATTTGACTAGTAATTGTTCCATTGTAGGGTGATGAAAATATTTTAAATTTAGATTATGATGATGGCTGTATAACTCTGTAAATTCTAACAATAAATGAAGTGTATACTTCAAATGGGTAAAATTTACAATATGCAAATGACATATTAATAAAGAAGTTTTATAAAACAGTATAAAAGACAGCAAAATTCCTGACTTTGGAAGGTCAGACTACCCCATACACAGGTCTGTGATCTGAGAATCAGACCCCTGGATGTGAACACTCCAGGGCTGGGCACAGTCAGGCTCTTGGCTGGGGTTTGTCACAGGCAGTCGTGAGGGTGATCACAGGGGAGCAGGGGCAGGTTTTTGTCTCACTTCCCCATGAGTCAGGAGCACTGTGTCAGCACTCAGGCTGCTGTCCCATGCTGAACAGTAATAGTCAGCCTCGTCCTCGGCCTGAAGGCCTGAGATGGTCAGGGAGGCTGTGTTCCCAGACTTGGAGCCAGAGAAGCGATCAGGGATCCCTGAGGGCCGAGAAGTACTGAGCATCACAGTTTGGGGGGCACCACGAGAAATCTGCTGGTACCAGCCCACAGTACGAGTTCCAACATTATTGCTGTTTCCAGTGCAGGACAGGGTGACCTTCTCTCCCACAGACCCTGACACCAAGGCTTCCTATGTCAGTCTAGACTGTGCCCAGGACCCTGGAACAGAAGAGGTGGAGACACAGAGAGGTGAGTCTGGGGTCATTGCCCACCCCATGCTCCTAGAATGAACAGGGGGAAATCACCCTAGGTGTCCTCCCCCACCCAGACACTTCTGATTCCCAGGGCTGTCACCTGGTCAGGGAGGGAGAGGGTGAGCAGGAGAGGGGTCCAGGCCATGGTGGAGATTCCTGCCAGCTATGATTCCTGGGGACCCACAGCTGCCTCAGAGCTGCCCCCTGTCTCTTGTACCTACTTCCCCACTGTGGGGACTGAGAGGCCTCCCATGCAAATCAGTCCCCTCCCCTAGAATGGCCTCCCAGTCCCTGGGCATGGAGGTTTCTCTGCACGAGGCTGGCAGGGCCTGGCCTGAGCCTCCCTGGGGCTGAGATTATTAATTAAACAGCCAGTCTGTCCCAGGGGACAGTAAGCACCAGGCACCCAGCAGGGAGCAGGTGGCTGGTTTCCAACCAGGCAGAAATGCAGCGCCCACTGCCGCCACTGGGATGGATTTGCTCAGATCTGGGAGGCCTAGCAGGAGAGTCTGGGGAGAGCACTGGGCCCCCCCATCCCTTGTCTGCTGCCCTCCTCAGGCAGAGGGACTTGTTCACTGCCCAGTGCCTCCTCCACAGGACAGCTGTTAACCTTGGCTAATCCCTTACTTCAGAGACGGGGCCTCCTAGAGTTTACTCTGCGGCCATTTCTTCCACTGTGAATTTGTTCTGGGGTCAGCTCACCTGAACCACTAAGGACAGCGACAGACCATCCAAGACCTGTGAATTGGAAAGGCCTGGGATGCTGGTTTGCTCTCTCTCTGCCCACGCTGCACCATGACAGGGTGGTTGCCTTTTTATGTTCAGTTGTGAGACTTTCTATTATACGTGAGATATTAGAGCTTTCTCAGATGCGTGATCAGCATGTGTTTCTCCTGTTAGTATTTGACTTTCTATCTCTTTGACCATGTCCATTGACAAACACTTAAAAATTTTCATCGAGGCTCAGTGCCCATAGCACAGTAGTTACGGCACCAGCCATATGCATCAAGGGTGGTGGGTTCAAACCCGCCCAGGCGAGCTAAGCAACAATGACAAGTGCAACAAAAAAATAGCTGGGCGACGTGGCAGGCACCTCTGGTCCCAGCTACTTGGGAGGCTGAAGCAAGAGAATTGCTTAAGCCCAACAGTTAAAAAAAAAAAAAAAAGCCCAACAGTTTGAGGTCACTATGAGCTGTGACACCACCATACTCTACAGAGGGTGGTTCATTCTCTCTCTCTCTCTCACTCACTCACTCAGATCCACAACGTCCCCTGCTGGCCACAGAATCACAACCCTCTTCTATACATCACACAGCTCACTGTCCTAGCAGGTTCATCTGCCTCTGATGACTTTTTTCACCTTGAGGAAGCAGTGTGGTGTTGTAGGATTATTTACCCCCCAGGTGCCATCATGGATAGTCACCTAGGACTGCAGGAAACCACATTAGTCCTTCCGCATCCCCCATCCCTTCACTTCCCACCTCCTGCAGGGACTCTAATGACCCCCCTGTGCTGGGCCTTGGTTTCAGCTCTCACTTAGTCTTTCCAGACACTCTGCTCACACTTTTATAATGTGCCTCTTTATTAACTTCATGTCAATTTATCTTATTGCAGTGTGCTGGCATTTTCTGCAGGATTTTTAATTAATACTCCCAGCCATATTTGTTTCACACATGGACTAATTTTTGAAAATCAATTAACTATACCAGGAAAAAGTCAAAACTCTTCTTTCCTTGGAAAGATTCTGTGTCCTGAGCAAGGAATAGCTGTCCGTATAGAGATGACGGGACTCAGGGTGTCCTGTTAGTGATGGTGCAGACATCCTCTGTGAGGAGTGGGGGCTCCCTGGACAGGCTGCAGACTCTCACGGTGGGCCCTAAATGGCTGGAGATTTCACCACTGATGCTGGTTGTTGCCACAAGCAGTGAGGGCCTGTTGACTTTTTGGGATGATCCACAGGTTCTGATCAAGAGGTAAGATGGAAATGAATAATTTTTCTTCTTTCTAGAGGAAAGACGGCTCTGAGATAAAGAGGCTCTGAATTTAGCAAACTTGGCTGCACAGGTGATATTTCAGAATTATCGTGAGGGTTCTAATTTTGCTTTTTGCATTTCTCAAAACTCAGAATAATTTATGGAAAATTGAAGGTAGAGCCTTTTTGTGCATATATACATGCAATTTATTTCAATTTTTGAAAATTGTCGTAAGGTGGGGCTCTGAGCAGACGAAGGTTTTTGTCCCACTTCCCCATCTGTTTGTGTCACTGTGAGAAGCATTGCTGTACCATATGGCACAGTAATAGTCAGCCTCGTCCTCGGCCTGCAGCCCAGAGATGTGCAGGATCCCTGCATTGGCCGAGGCGTCTTTAGATCCAGAGAAGCGGCTGGGGACCCCAGAGCCCTGGTGCTTATTTGAGTCTGTGTAGTAACTCAGGAGATACCGGGGAGGGCTCTCTGGCTTCTGTTGGTACCAGAATATCCTGTAGCTACCAACATTGATGCCACTTCTTAGGGTGCAGGTGAGTCTAGCTGATGATCCAGGAGATGCCGAGAGGGAGGGTGGCTGAGTCAGCACAGGCTGGGAGAGGGAACCTGGAAAAACAGATGCTCATTGGCCCTGGAGTAGGGACCAGGGTAATGTTTTTCAGAGATCTTTGCAAGAAGATCCAGAATTAGGGTAGGGGCTATTTCTGGTCTCTGAGGCCTGTCCCTACCTGAGCAGTGAGACAGGAACACAAGGAGGACAGGAGCCCAGGCCATGGTGGACACAGCCCTGGTCCCCGCAGTGGTGCTGGGCTGCCCCAGGCCCCCTTTTCTCCCCACCCTCTGCACAGGAGGGGCTGCTCATGCAAATGTGTTTCCACCCAGGACTGCCCAGCCCCTCCCTGACCCTGGGCTGGGGCTCAGCTCTCCCTGCAGACTGAAGAAGAGGGGACTGACTTTGCCCCTAGTGGGAGCCCTGGGAGGAAGCACCTGCTGAGAGCATACAAAGGCCACTGCTCAGGGGACTGTGCTGGGCTAGAGAGGACACAGCTGCTGAGTCCCCATCAGTGAGCACAGGGCCCAGCCCTGAGGCCCAGGCTCCTTGGAGTGACTGGTGTGTAGGGACCACAGGGCAGTCCCCCAGTGTCCCCTGCTGGTCTCTGCCACTCCCCCAGATCACTATCTTTTTACAAGGCACAGTCTGAATCTAACATACTGGGATTCCAATTCTGACACTTTGTGTGTAATTAATGTTATTCTCACTGGCAAAAGGAATTGTGGACTATGAGAGGTACAAACCTGTATATCAATGATAACTTGGATTGTTAGCCTCTTCAGAAGATGCTACAAATCTAAAATTCCTTCCTTGGTATGTTATTTAATATATACATATACACGTACTTTTTCAGGACCGTGGTTCTTACAGGAAATATATATTCCAGCTACTCTGACATGAGTCCACTTATGTTTTGATTTTCTGATTCTGTGCTGTGGTGATTGCTGTGCTGATTGACACAGTGAAGGGAGCACAGTGGACCCAGAGGTTTGCACCTTTGGGGCTCACACAGTACCATGCTGCCCTGGAATAAAGTCTGGCCTGTGCTCCGTCCTCAGATGCACTTTCCTCAGTTTCCTCCATCTCCCCACCCTGTTCAGAATCAACTCCCCTATAGATCCAGAGCCCAGGAACCCACCATTATTTTCCTCACCAGTTTTCTCAGGAGGGTGTTTGAGGAATTTGGGATTGAATAGTGGAATGTGAAATATTTGGGGATCATACAGTGAATTTTGAGCCTGATATTTAATATTTTGTTGACCATGACTAATATACATGTTCTTAATTCAACAGAATGTTAAGTAACATTCACCCCCAGCTCACGCCAGCTGACTTCTGTGCCCTGAACCTGCTCCTCCATCCACCTGCCCCCTATGGCGTTTTTTGCTCGGCACCTTGAGGTCAGTCACGTCCTTCTCCACAGTCTCTGCAGGAGTCCACGGGGTCCAGTCCATCCTTCCCCAGGACTCAAGTCCATGTCTCTCTTGTGTTCTTTAGCCCCTGAGGTCAAATCTTTTATTAGCATGTTATTTAAGTGAGTTCAGAATAATAAACTGAAATGTCCAGAAAGAAGTAATTACCATCTTGGACTCAGACCTGTGCCTCTTCCTGGGACTGTGATTCAGGTGAACTCACCTGCTTGTTCATCAGGTGGGCTGAGTTTGCCCTTGGTGCCAGGTGGTGCTTTGATCTCCATGGAAGTAGAGGTAAAAAAAACAGAGAAATAATAACAGCAACAACAAAAACCCCAAAACCTCTTCCCCTGGAACTCAGATTCCTGTGGGGAAAACTCACAGAGAACAGACATGCCACCCCTCCACTGGGGGCCTGTGCACCCAGCTCCTGGTGGCTGAGAGCCCTTTGTGCCCCACCAAGTGTCAGAACTAAATTCCACACTGTCCACAGAGCCCCCTCCTGTCCTCTCCCTGCCCTGCCCTGGTGCTGAGTGCAGCTGCCTGTCACTGCTCACTGGGGCCCTGCACACCCCCTCCATGTGACTTGTTCACCATTTTGTCCTCTTGTCATTTTATCCTTCATACAACAGAGGGACACTTCAAACCCACATATGAAGAGTCTGGTGAACGCACCTGTCTGTTTACAAATACTCCACATGCTCTTCCCCATGAGGAAACTGCAACACATTCAGCTTTTCCCTCCCTCCTTCCTTGCCAGCCTCTGGCCTCACCTCCCCCTCCTGTGCCTGGACAAAAGCCTGTGATGTCCCCGTGGAAACGTGACTCCTAACCCTGGACCCCTGCCCTTTCCCCACTGCTGCCCCTCCTGCCCAGCCTGTCCCTCTGAGTCACAGGGGATGTTTATTTCATTGTGCAAAATTTACAAGGAAACCTATGCAGGTAAAACTTTATCACCCCCTGTGACAGCTCCCCAAGTAAAGTCTCATGATGAAGACACTAATGGAGCCGCGGAATTGTGATCCCCGTTATCAACACGTGTTTCCCTCTTGGCTCTGCCTCCCCAGAGTGTGGCTGTATATTGTGCTGTTCATTTCTCCTAAACATTCCACCTTCCCAGAATGATGAAAGGGCATCCGAGGAGGAAAGATGAAGCGTCACCCGGGCATCTGGCCAGGGTTCAGGATGACTGGAGAGTCTGTGACACTTGAATTCAAGGTTGTCTTTAATGAGGGTCGTCTGAGGAACGTGATGCCCAGAGACCCTGAGGGCCCTTCCTCATGGTCATTCCATTTGAAAGCCGTGATGAAGGAGAATTTAGTTTTCCTCATGGATAAATGATTTGAACACCGCTTTCCTGGAATCAATGGCTCAGTCCAAATCCCAATATTGTGCAAATGTTCAGATAAAATTTCCAAGTGTTCACAGATCCCTTTGAGACCCTTGACTGTGGGGTCCTCACAGAGGGAGGACGTGGGATTTATTGCAACACAGAGCTGCTCTCCATCACTGCACACACCACACTGACACAGGGACCTTCTGTGACACCCTGGCCACCTCTGAGTGTCCTAGGGACTGTGGGGCCTGACCGTGGCCCTGAAACACCCCCAGGGACTCTCCTGGCATCCTCCCCACCCTCATTTATCCGGTGGAACTTCCCAGGCCTGGGCCATCCATGACAGCCACTCAGAGCAGCCGTCACCTCCTGTACTGAACATCCCTGTGTTCCCTGATGACAGAGAATAACCCTCCCCGGGCTTTCTGTCCTACACAGGACAACACCACCCTGTAGATGCTGTGGGGTCCCTTATCTCATTTTCTAGAGCACAGGGACCATCCTCTGGACCAGAACCCGCTTAAAGAAAGAAGTGTGCCCGCTGCTGAGCTCCCCTATGAGTGTAAGTGTGTCCATGTGTGCCTGTGTGTTTGTGTCTATGCGTCTCTGTGTGTGTGTGCACAGTCCCCAACTCTGAGGTCCCAGCATTTGGTTCTGACCTGTGTTCAGCGTGTCACACCTGCAAAGCCTTGTCTCAGGTATTTGGTTCAGGCTGTGGCCGTCCATTATTTAAGGGCTGGACCTGTGGACACTTGTCACGTTGCTGATTCAACGTGTTCTTGTATAACAATCTTTCTTAGCTTATCCCAATTTAACACCTTTTATCCTTCTGCGACACTTCCCATAGGCCCTGCAGACATGAGCTGATCAATACCTTCTGGAGGTCACTGAGATTCTGAGATGTGCACAGATTTTCATCAAATTTAGGAAATCCTTATCATTTTTCAAATACATTTTTCTGTCCCTTTTCCCACTCCTTTCCTTGGGACTTTCTTTATGTGTAAGTTGGTGCACTTGGTATCACAGAAGTCTCTCAGGTTCTGCACTTTTTAAAATCTTATTCTGTCCTCTCCCTCAGAGAGGATAATGTCATTTTCTCTGTATTTAGGTCAATCATCTTTACCAATATTCTGTTTTGGATGAGACATAGTCCCTTTTTTTTTTAAATTTTAATATGACTTTCTTTTTTTAGTGTATTTATCATAGCCGATTTGAAGTTTTTGTCTGGTTACTCTAATGCACGTGCCTCTCTGAGGACAGTTTCCATTATGTGTGTGTGTGTGTGTGTTTATTTGTGTGTTTTCTTAAATTGCTGCAGCATAGTTTTGTTTGCTTTTTTCCCTGAATAGGAATTATTGTCCCTTTTCTTGCTCTCATAATTTCCCTTTGAAAAACAGATTTGAAAATGCAATGTGTAATACATTGTGACTGCTCCAGAAATCAGGTCCCTCCCTTCCTTGGGAGTTTCTTTCTGGATCTTCTCTGCCTTCCTCTTTTATCCTGTTTTCATGGAAACATTTAAACATGTTCCATGTGTTACACATAATGATATATGTTTTATGGGTTAGGGAGTTTACTTGAGATTAAAAATCTCAGGTCCAGGGTGGCACCTGTGGCTCAAAGGAATGGGGAGCAGGCCCCATATGCCGGAGGTGGTGGGTTCAAACCCAGCCCTGGCCAAAAACTGCACCAAAAAAAAAAAAAAAATCCTCAGGTCCATCCAAGACCTACTAAGTCAAAATGTACCTTTTTAAAAATTCCCAGAAGAATCATGTGCTCATAAATTTTTGAGATTCCTTTTTTAAAGTGTGCATGCATGGATTTATTTCTGAATTGTTCCTTAAGACTCAATCTGTCCTCGCAGAGACCCTGCAGACCCACATCTGGTTTCTCCATTTGCCTCCCATTCTGAATGGCAAAAATCACCCTCTCACCACACAAAATGCACAGAAATAACAAGTAGTCTGTTAATAAAACTAAATTAATAATGAGTATCCTTAATAATAATAATAACAATATCACCACATCATTATTGGTCCTTGAAAAAAATAGAATTAGACAAACACTATAATACATTATTATCAGTTAGAATAAGATAATATAAAATGGTCAGTAAAATATGCATTTTAATAAAAAGAAAATTACTTATGTGGATCTTGATTGAATATAGATGTGAATAGAAGGTAAACTATGTTTATTGATGTGATTTAATTATAGGAGTTGGAAATTTAAAAATAAATTAAGGAAATGCACTCAGATTCTGAAATAAGGTTCACATGTATTGGTTAAGAAGAATACGTTAAAAAATCTTTTTGATATTTTTGTGCAATGAACTTGTATTGCTTCAATATGCAACAAAATACAACAAATACAACGTTAATGATATTTTAAAGAAACTTCCCTTCCCTTTGTGCATGGCCAGCAAAGGCCAGGTATGTTATAATCATATCTGCACTGAGGCTCAGTTAAGAGCAGGCTCG